GTGGGGAGCGAGAAGAGGGGGATACGCTGGCTGGACTGCGGAAAAGAACCTAGAAGACTTGGATTTCGCCGATGACTTGTGTCTCATGTCACACAAACTTGAAGATCTGCAGGCAAAAACTAACAAGTTGACAGAAGAGGTAGGGCAGCGAAGACGGGACTTCAGGTGAATATAGAGAAGACAGAGGTGATGAAGATACCGCACCACCACCATCAACAACAACAACAAACTCCAGTCACCATCAACTGGAGAAACTTAAAGGAAGTAACCTCCTTCACTTATCTAGGAAGCACTGTTTCAACTACAGGCGGAACGGACGAGGACGTCAAAGTCAGAATCGGAATCGGAAAAGCAAGACAGGCGTTCATTAGCCTGAAACCAGTGTGGAGATCTTCTGCACTCAGCATGCGGAACAAGATACGGATTTTCAACACCAACGTCAAGTCAGTGCTTCTGTATGGTTCAGAGAATTGGCGCGTCACGAAAGTGATTTCCAACAAACTACAGACATTCATCAACAACTGCCTACGCTGGCTCGTTACTGAAGATCAGATGGAGGAAATGGAGATGGATTGGGCATACACTGAGAAGGCCGACTGGGGACATCACACGTCAGACCCTCGAGTGGAATCCCCATGGGAAGTGACAAGTTGGACGTCCGAGGGTGACATGGAGGAGGTCGTGCGAGGAGGAAATGAGAGCTTCTGGGCTGTCGTGGAATGAGGTTCAAAAGATCTCAGAGAACAGAGGTCACTGGAGGCGTGCTACTGAAGCCCTATGTTCCACTACGAACCCAAGGGACTAATAATAATAATAATCCCAATACCATTTGATGAAAATGGAAATTGTATTCTGTTTTGTTAGAAGGTAGTAAAACATCTGAAGAAGTTAGATAAATATTTCGCCTGGACTATATGGTATAAAGTATAGATTAAGAAACTTCCATGAAGAATAGCATCGAAGTAAGATGTACTTTTAAAGTTCTATTCATCATGGAATGCAATCGGCTGTAGAATCATTAAAAAAGTGAAAGCCTTGGATTGCTATGTATTCCTGACATAAGATTTCGTATCAGTCTGCTACCATGACCCAATGAGGTATAATGCAAAGAAGCAAGCACGCTACCTACTACTCAGTCAAACAAGATCTACTGCTTCTTACTTTCCTAACTCGGTGGGTTGGGTATCCATAATGGTCATCATCCCGTGTTGTTGGGCTGTATTCGTCGTCAAACCCAAATTAGTGGATCCATTGGCCACAGTCCGTTTTAAGTACTTACGAGGATTCATCTCAAAGTCAATCACCAACGTGCAGTGAACAATAGTTCAATTGATTTTGAAGGTGACTTCCAAATGATGTCATCATACGATGAATACTTTGAAAGCCAATCACTTCACACAAAGTATAAATTGAACTACGGTGCAGTTGTTATGCATTTATTCGTTTAGGACTTTGACTATCATGAAGCAAATTCAGCGTTAGTTGTCTTCGACAATGAACACAAGAAGTTGAAGCTGGCTATGACATCATAGGAGACGATAATGCTATATCAAGTGTTAAGTAGTATTAGTTCGGCATCTAAAGCATCCATTTCGTCCTCCTACATTAGTGTCTAGTCAACCAGATATTGTAACCGTGTTGACACACAAGCCTACAGTAAAAACAGAAGCGGCAATCATTCTCATTTTATTTCATCTGTATTCTCTCTCATATGTTATTTTGGTACTTAGTGCGAAAAAACTGAAATTAGTTGTGTATACGATGTACAGGCAGAACAATTACGAAACAAATGTCTGTTTATTGAATGTCACCTTCTTATGCTTTTCAGTTCCACTCACTGTTTTATTTTAAATGTTGAATAGTTAAACGTCAGGGGTTGCTTTATACCAGATTGAGCAAAGGGTAATATCATGTAGGGATAGTGATGTGCCTAAGGTGGTAAAACCAAAATACTCTAAAATCAGGAATGAATGGTTGCATTGTCCCGCGTGTATTTTCACAGAAACAATAGAGTTAAAAGTAGAGATGTAATATAGCAATATGAACTATTAATTACTTAATGCAGTTTGACTTAATGCTGAACTAGCACAGAAACAGAAATTGGATGGTTTTTTAACACATTCGTCTTTGATATACATATGTATAGACAGCATAGATTTATATGGTATCAGTTTTGTATTTAAGCCATACTAGTAGGGATTAAGACAGATTAACTGGATCAAGCTTTTGGGCAAAATAAACTTGATAGATTTTAGCCTGATGTCCGTTGTCAACTAGATGACGATGATGAATAGCACTCTTAATTGACTTCATTGTTACTGTTCCAGACTGAGGTGGTACAATTTCATCTTCTTTTTAGTATACAATTCTTTTAGGGTGGTCAGTATGGCTAACTGTATAAAAGAAATTAAAATTTATGCTAAGAGCGGTTTTCACTAGTTCTAGTGACTCTTACGAGCCTGTTGAATTCATATTATTTCGTCATCCTCTTTTCAGCTTGACAATTTTCTTAACTAACCCAGACAAAACAGATCTTTAAAAATAGCTTCCACTTCTTAACCTTGAATTTACATTATGAACTAGTTACAAATATGTACTCAATCGTTTCTATTCCATATGTAGTAAAACGACTATCTGACCATATGAACATTGCATAACTTTGATTTAAATCTGAACAATTCGCTTCATGTGAGCTCCCTTAGTTGGTATCCTTTCTCTGATTATTTTCATGTATGAACTATCTTGTATTCCTTTGTATATATCTTACAAATTTTGTAGCTTTTACTCAGAAAAAAGATGAAATACCACAAACTAATAGCATTCTGAAAAAACCTCATTTTCTTCACTTTACAAGAAATTAAACTGATTTACACATACTGAGGAGGTAAACATCAGATGCTTTCCATCAGGTTATATGTCGATACTGACTTATTTAAAAAACAGACCTTAAAAATGCTTTAAGGCATGAACAAGACTATTATAATGATTGAAAACTTCGGAATTTTGACATTCATCACATTGTAGTATGGTATGAAAAATAATCATCCAGCTATTTCTTTAGACCACGAAGCACCAAGCATCGAAAGCCATAGGGCAAAAACAGCAAATTTAAACCACAGGATTTGTAAAGCATATAATATAATATAAATGCCCACCGATCATTTACAGTATAGTTACATCTGGATTAAGATTATTATAAATAAGCGATTAACATAAAATAATGCAATAATCCGATGATCTAGGTACTTTTCAAAAGTCAGGTCCTGACAGATTGTATTTCTGACGTCAGTTTATGTGTGTTTTGGTGAAGCTCCGTTAAAATCTCGTATTGTTGACAGTTTCAAGAAGTTTTATCATGTATAAGATGATGTCTATAACTACTTCTACTCATAGGTGTTAGTCTAAATTTACTCAAGTTTACAAATGCCATTCATAAAGATTTCAGCGAAGATCTATGCCATACTTTTGAACTTACGTGATGCGATCTCGAACAAAACGATTAAACTACTCAGGAAATAAAATAAGAATTATGAGTCTAGGCATGCGCCTGCCAAACATAAAGTCAAATATAATAACACCAAGGTTGAAATAGTTGAAAGTGAAGTAATACACTGAAATTTCATTCACGAGACAATTAAACGGTAACTTATGATGCAGAAGTTCTAAAAACAGGACAAAAGCCTAATTGTAAATAACTTTTATAAGCTCACTACTCTAGGGGCTTTTTACAAAAAACTCACATACCGATCAGGTAAAATTCTTGGTGACAAAAGTGAACTATGTTGTGGTTAGCAGATAAGTGTCGCAACCTAATTGAAAGAGAACCGAATTGATATCCGTGAAGGTCACTAGTTCGTATCCCATCGCTACCGTGACTTTATTTCACCTTCAACCACTATCTTGTATTGAAGACTTAAAAGTTTATGGTTACCTGGACTGAGAGTTTTGCTGTAAAAGTTTGATCTTTTAAATAATAGCATGACGAGACAATGTTTTCTTATTTTTAGTCATTAAAACTAATGCCGTAACCGATCCAATCAGAAGTCTATATTTTTTTATTACCCATGGGTTGGTCAAAAATATCTCATTAACAACCGCCGGATATACCTAGATATTTTGAGAAGGAATAAATTAAGGACATATATGAGATGGCAGAAGTTAAGAATAGTAGTTTCATTTTCCACAGTCTATTACTTGTTGTTCTCTTATTTATATTTCATGATGTGCATTGGTATATACCTTAAGAAATAACAAGGCTATCAGTGGAAAATTGTAGTTTTTATTACATTTTTAGGAACGAAGTGCTCCAGCCTGTATTTTCAATGGTTTTCTCCTTTCTTATTATATGCCTAACTTCGCCTTGTTTTTCTTTTGACGGCTTGAATGTACGAAATCAGTAAGGTTAACCAGTTTTGAAAATGGCGTAGTCAACTAGAGTAATATTTCACATACTAAACTCCATCCAACATGCATGAGAAATGAAACCATAAACGTCAGTAAAGAACCATGGTTAACGATCAAAAAATAACTTGGGCCTAAGCAACTGATGCCACATTTTTGTTTTAAAATTTATCTTGATATTATCTAGTAGTTGAATGTTTTTCTATTCAAGATATGTACCAGAGATGTTCTATGGCTTTCAGCCAATAATTCAGTCTACGTAATAATAAAACAACGGCAATCAGTAATACTGTAACGATGTTTCAACAGTAAAATGCATCTTAACATCTCTTGCTAATCATTCATGGTTCATCAAAGTACGACATTAAATGTGACAGATAAATTGCGAACTGAAACGTTTAAAAATATTTTTTTCCACACTATGTGAATAGTCTCCTTAACACATTACTTCCCACTTCACTCTAAATCATATTTATGACCTTTCATTGGGAGCATCAACAATATCGGAAACAGCAGTCATCACCATTGTGTGGTAGATAACTTGAAAGAAGCAGTCTTCATCAACATGACTTCGGAAAACTGATTTATACCAATAATAATTAACCAGAATCACATTCATCTCCGACAATTTCTAATGAACATGGATTTTTTACTATTTTCAATTTCGTTTCATTGATGCGGTTACTAATTACTGGAAATGTTTCCACTGGTAAACCGATCCCGGTTGATGATCGTACAGAATTGACTGGTACTGAATAACTTGGATTAGAATGATTGGTCATTGAAGGACGACAAAAGAAGCGAAAAATATACCGATGATAGTTTGAGCATGTTGCAATCAACAATAATGGACCGGTAACAGCATTCGACATTGCCAAGCACATCGAATAATCGAGCAGAATTTCAGTAATTGGATAATTAATGTGAAATGTCTTCGTTAATAAATTACATATATGATTAGGTGACCAAGATAAAACAAATAATGCTGCCATAAGTACGCATAGTCTGGTCAAACGTTGTCGTCTTCTTGTCCACGTTGTAGTATTACGATGTCCAGATAGCATCAATAATCTCTGGGATTGTTTAAGATGAACTGTTACCACATGTTGACTTAAACAGACGACAATAAGTGGTATCACATATATTGCTACTATTAATATGACATCATATGCTAGTTGAGCTTCACGAGTCCACGAATCCCTGTAATGAAAGAAAGGAAAAAAACCAATAAACTGTTTTCACTGCTTGATTACAACAAAAATGCAAATGCTTTGCAAAATGTGTTTTTGTTAGAATCAAACAACTGATTAATATTTCAGGGCATTCTTCAGCTGGAAGTTCCTTTTAGTACTTGGTTCGTGATATCACTTACTGAGGCTATGAATATGATATGTAATTACAAATAATGAATAAGCTTGAAGATATAATAATCATTCGAGGAGTTTTAGTGTCTTTACTTGTGCCCATAAAAATATGATGGCAACACTTTGATGCAATAAATAGCTTTCTTAGGGTGAATAAAAGTTTGTGAAACTCCAAAAACGGGCCTAAACAAAGCATAACTACGGACATTACTGGACACTTCAGATTTCGATAACTATGGGATTGGCACCGGTGTCTTATTTCCATTATTGTTCCTTGACAGCAATATCCATATGTTAAACAACCGTTTGCTTTTACACTTAGTTGAAATAGGTACAAAATCGGCTGTTGTAAACAAAGTTTGCAGCATGTCACCGCTTTTATGTTTTCATTAACCTTGCATCATGCGAACAAAATTACTACAAATCCAGTCATCCTCGACACATTATGGACAAATACTTATGCATTTCATTATCTAAAGGTCAATGAGCTCAAAACAAATTTCCATATTTTTTCCTCCTGCATATTATTTTTTGTTGAATCGTTAATGCTTCCTTTGCACAAATCTCAAAGCCACGAGTGTCCTTAAAATAGAATAAGATTAGGAGTATTCTAATCAAAATAGCGGAAATTCCACTATTTTGTGTCAACACAACAGAAAAAAGTTCAACTGAATCAAAATTTAGTCTTGGAGTTATTTTCTGAAATTTAATTGACATTATTCCGAATTTATTCATTGATAAGCAACTTTTAATGAATCTGGCAACCAAGGAAAGGCTTTTCTATATCTGTATGTATACATAAAATAAAAGTACTTTTGATATAAACTAAACAGATATAATTGGTAGCCAATTTGTTTAAAATGAGGCTTTAAAACGTTTCATTTCTGGAATGGCCGGGAAAATGTTATATTTTTAATTTGTCAGTTGACCTCATTTTGTTGCAATAGGTCGAACGTCACGCTTACTATTTCATACAGAACGGATGGGTTGATACAAGCCGATGGAAATGATAAGACTGTTACCAACAGAAATATAAAAATAATTTTTCTTTAACATCGAACTTCACAAGATACGCATTTTTAGTTTATCTACTAAATATTAAGTGGATTTACAATGATGTATTTTATAACTACATTTAGTGATAACTGTGTGCTGATCTTAAGTTCCTTGTAGGAAATAATTCATGAGCATTTTATCAGTAACTCTATATTTTAAAGACAATCAACAGCCGGTAACGTCTAAAACCACGACGGAAGTCAAATTTTGCTGGAAACGATCATTGTTATCATTCCACTCCTTGATATTCTTATAAAAACATTATCAGTAAATCTTCTAAACAACACGCTTGCTACACCATTATTACCTGATGTCACTTTCACGTTACTTAAAACTACACTGTGCTTAAGATTTATTAAATATTCACTCTTATCTCAATAGACCGGTTAGATACTTTCAGTAAAATTTGTGAAGTAGAATATGGTCCGAGAACACTTCATGTTCTAAAGAATACTAGGTCATGTGATATTCATCATTATGATTTCCTCATATCATCATGAGAATGCAAAAGATACATGAAAAATGCGTTTTTCAAGTTATGGGTAGCTAATTATTATAATCTCTACCAGTGACACAAATAATGCGTACCTTCATATCTTAATCACAAAATGATGAGTGAAAAACCAGAAAACATTTTCGAAGCATATAACCAGGCTTTATTGATCCCAAATCAACATTTTTATGTATTAGGTAATTTCTAAGTAACGTGGAAGCATATGTCAAAGATCTACTTAAACATTTCTGCCACAATAATAATTTACTTCCATGTAAAATCACTGGGTCACTTGCATTAAATGATTCAAATATTTAGAAATACTTCAATAACTACTAAAACGTGTCTGTGTTTAGCAAACACAGTGGTAAAATGAGAAATGTGAACCTGACAGCGAACAGTTTAAGAAACTTGACAATGAAAAAATTCTTAAAATTCCCTTTGTCCCGTCTAAATGCTAAAACTCTAAGGAGTTTAAGTCTTAAAGTCCATGCACTTAAATTTTCAACAAGAAACGCCTGAATTTCATAGCACTTTTTCTTGTATACCTTTTAACTGCCTATCAGACAACTGGAAAATGAATTATTGAAATTCGATGCGTTATGCCTTCTAGATAACCTCAATGTTTGTATCAATCTCACAGTTCAGCACCAAGACGCATAAATATCGTATTTTTGCACTGTGTATAGGGAACCATGAATTTTCTGAGAAGGCATGTATGCATGCATAATCTTACAGCGCATCTTACGGAATATGAATCATGTTCAAGCTAATATTCGTGCTGTAAGTGAAAATGAGAATTACTTCGAGTTGTCTTGATTTTTTTCGTAATTTTCCTGTTACTTCATCGCTCACTGAAAATGAAAAATATCACCAGCAACATAAATGGCTACTGAAATAAACCAAGACATTCAAATTGTAACTCATCGGAATCCACTAAGGTGAAATACTTTTCACTACACATTAGGAAATAACGGAAGAAAATAATTTCCGTCATTCGATTTTCAGTTGCATTAGTGACAACATAATTAGTCTGATGATCTGCTGTTTCAAATTTTCGCATACTTAGGGTATTTAAAATTGTATCTTGCTGTCTCTACGCAGATTTTTTATTACACCTTCTGAACTGGACAAAATATTATACTGAAAGACTTGAAAAGAAGTGTAGATGTGTAATAGGGAAATTTATTTCACACTCACTACTAGGAATGTTCATAAACTCGACAGTACTTATTTACTAAAATTTTCTTAGAAAAAAATAAAGCAAACCACAAAAACTGTCTTTATATAACAATCCAATTATCCATTTATCTCTGAAGTGACTTTTCTCTTTTTAATTTTAGAAAAAACGTTTCTTACTTAGTATACTCCTGAGAACATTTCAGAAAAGAGTACTTTGTTTCTTGTATTTATACAAAGATAGTATTTTCACAAGCTAATTTTCATACGAAAAATTAATAATTCGTCTAACTAGTCTACACACCCGTTAGTGAATACGTTTCAGTGTTAAGATTAGTTTTCATCAAAGTATACGCACTGAAAAAGCTGGTTGAAAGTATGAACACCAAAAAAATCTCAGGTTTACGTTCAGGTCGCCTAGCGCTGTTTTTCTATGGGATGTATGAAACTTAAGGTGTTTATTTAAAACCTAACTATAGGGTAGAAAATGTCTTGAAAAACAATTTGAACAGTCTATCAAAGCATTGTATGAAGTCACTGTTTAACTCATAAATATAAAAATCCTACCAAATTTTTCAATGTATCCTTCATCAGTTCTTGCTGACAATTTTGTGTAACTTTGCTCCTTTTATTGAAACCTCTCACAGTGATAAATTAAATTCACGACAACTTCAGTCTTTAACCTTATTTTAGTATTTTATTGGCTTTCGAAATTGATTGTTAATCCTGGGAGGTGTGAAAGTGAAAGTACACTTTAAAGTTAGGCAGCAGAAACATGTGTAATAAACTACTATTTCATTTTATTCGATGACTTTAAAAGCATTATCAAGATTAGCTGCTGATGACGCATGCATGGGTCAAAGAAGACCGAGAAAGGATAGAAAGAATTCATTAGGAGATTATGAAGCAGCTAATTCAGGTGGACAAGTAAATTATGAAATGCATACCTAGTTTGCAAATCAATGTATCTCTCAGGGTTGTGTTCGTAAATTCGTTGAATGGTGATTGCGCTATGCAATTATTTGACAAAAGTAGAAAAGTGTGCACCAATGGATTCTGAACCATCCATTTGATGGAAATGTGCTCGTTGCGAAAACTGAAATTTGCTGGTTTACTCCTAAGTGAGGATGTGGGCGTCTACTGCTGAGGACTTGCTAACTTGAATGAATCACCTATGCAGTGCTTCCAGGATTTTAAAGGTTCCCTAACTGATGTCAGTCCATCATGAATACATTTGTAAAATCAGTAAATCTACACATATCTCCAAACTATTTCCTATAGCTAAAAATCGGACTATCTACACTACTGTGCATTACCAGAGTAGAAATGCTTAGCAGTTTAAAACAGTGTCTCAATATCAGCGATCAACTTATCATGTTACATGTGGTTTAGGCAAACAAAATGCATTTAGAAATATGGAGAAAAAATAGGTCATAATATGCTAAAGATGTACTTTTATACTGCAACCATAGTATTGGTGTGATGTTTATGATAACTATTATTATCAAAACACAAACATGGTTCAGAAAGCGCACCAAGAAATGAGCCACATGAAATAATATAAGGCGATTTTGAAGGCACAAACTGAACTGAAGTAGTTTAATGAAAAAGAAAAACACCATAAGAATCTAGTGATTAAAAAGGAAGTCTCATAAAATGCATTCAAAACGAAACATCTTTTATTCTTTCAGCAGCAGAAGAAGGAGGCTACAGCATAACCACCACTAGTTTTGATTCCGAACCATATCTGATAACGTCTCACGTCACTGAGATGCGTGATCTCTCCGACCCTAACCTGGGAGTCGTGATCTACCAGTAGATGCTAACCCAATACAATTATACTTAATCCCATGGCTACACGTCATACACTAAGTAACCTTCTGTTTCTTTCATCCAGTTTCAGGGTTAGTAAACAATGAATGGACTGGAAGTCCAAACCACCGAAGCTGGTACTTCCAGATGACTTCACTCACTGAACGACAATCGCCATCATGCCCAAACACACTTTATCGTACCTCATAATTACTTACATAGTGTTGGCACAGGATATTAGCAATCCTATGCAGACAGCGATGATCAAACATACAGTGTCATAGCGCATCTCCAGCTCCCAGAAGTCAGGTTTCACTAGCGTAGAGCATAACTGCTCTCACCAAAGCAATGTTAACTCGATCCTTTACGTTAATATATTAGTAAAACTTATGCACTATGGTATAATGTAATTCCATTTTTACTGATTTATTAGATTTGTCACACAGTGTAACAGTATTGTTTGCGGTCAAACTAATGCCATGACGGTGCTAAAAGTCGTCAAGATTGGGGTATGCCACTCTGGATTTCGACATGAGGTCAGAAATTTCTTCACTCACACCTTCACCAGCACACATAACCACCTGGACTTACGAACGTTTCGATTACTTCCTATGGCTCATCATCAAGGACGAAGGGGAATAAGCTCCTGTCAATCTTGCAAAAGTACTTTGCACTTCACTGGTGCAAAGCACATACCATACATTAGGCGAATATAGTCAACTACAACTAATTTGCAATCACTATGTGGAAAATAATTTGTAAAGCCATGTTAACAATATGCTGACTTCCGTCGTGCGGTATCATGAGAATAATTTCAGTCAGTACTGTATATGAAATGCTGTTATATTATAATGGTGCTTATGCCTAATTTTAATTATTTTTAGAATTTCGGAAGGTGTAAATTTTTCATGAAGGTTCTGATGTTTAATGCGAAATATACATATACATGGTCTATCAATGAATAATGACAATAACTGAGGCAAATACCCTTCAAATTATTTGACTTATAAAGTACTTAAACTCTTAGAAGAACAGGTGGATCTGGAGAACAATTAATTCATGAAAGCTGAAGTATGGCAACTTTGTATCATGACCCAAATTCCTATCAGATAAAGTTTGTATTGAGAATAACTCATATTTTTGGTTAAAGGTGCAATAGAAAAATTCAGTGAAACATTTTTTGAGCAGAATATAATGTGCAATCATGGCACTTACGTTCATCTTTTTGTTTGGCACCAACAAAGTCATAGATTTAATTTTCATTTGTAAACGATAATTATTTTGGTATTAAACGCAATACTATTTTGCTTCAGTAATGTCATTGTCAAGCAATTTCAGCTACTACTAGCACTGATTCTGCCTAAGCAAAATAAAAATTTGACTTCAACGTAGTTTATCGCTACCTGGATAGAGTAAATAACTGTGGTCGTATTGCCTTATTTAAAGTGTTTCCATGTAAGGTTGAAAATTATGATAGACTTCAGCCTGTTTTTCATCTATCCACCTTTAATGTTTCATAAGAATACACTTTCAATCCAAGTAATTGTGGCAATTTCCCTTCCTCAAATCTATAACGAATTTGCCAGGAGTCGTTTCTTTGTGTGGCTCAGACTACTTTCGTTTATCATTTATCACCTCTCTTCACTGTTGCATCTTCTTCTGTGTGTAGCAAAAATGTTTCATACAGAAAAATATGACAAAGCCTGATCCTCGTCTCAGTGAAAAATTTCCTACACTTAGGTATGAGTTAATTTCATGAGGTTTGTAGTAGTTTGATGAAGAAATCATTTATATGCTACATAGTATGTTTATTGGTAACTGTGCACTACTTAAAACTCCACAGGCAGACACTAATTTATTGTTACGTCACAGTTTTCAAGTGTCAAGATATAACAACATTTGAAATATTTCTTCTTAAAGATCTGAATTTTAAAAGTTAACAATGAGGCTTCTTTCATCCTATATTTTAATAAGCAATATGAGGACAGCATTTTAAAGATTAAATTTCATACATATTTATTTCTCCATAAGTACCTAAATTACTGTCTGATCAGATTAAAATAGTTTACAAAATTGGTTGGCTAATCGGATTGAAGAATAAAGTTTTATTCCATTGGATTACTCCGTCCCTAGTTGAAAATTAGATAGACTATGCTTACACTGTTACAGACGTTTCATTCCATAAGATCAGTTCATTTCTGGAATGAAATTACTGTTAGAAGTTTCCACTCTTCATTTTTACTCCAAATAGTTAACACGCTTTCATAGTGTCATGTTATTGCTTTCGTATAAAAGTTGTCTCTCCTTTTTCAAAGCAAGCTTACTTATCAGATGTTAGTTATTTAACTAACAGAAGATTAATACATTATATTTATCAGCTTTGTTTGAATCAAGCCATTAGAATATCCCTTGAATGACTGTAAGGGAGCTCAAGCAGTAACGTCAGTCATTTCACAATAGACTTTGTTTATATAAAGATATGTCTATGGAAGAGACTTAATTTAGTTAGTGATTTATCACAAAAATGTATAGTTCCTATAGGGATTTTACTTGAGACGAAATTGGATTAAGACATTTTGAAATCCAAAAGGAAAGGAAGTATTTCACTATGGTCTTGAGTATTAAATATAATTAGCGGGAACTGTCTCTTTTTCATAATAGAAACAAAAACACACTTTCATTTTCATACCGCTTATCTTTCCTCACCATTTATAGTGTTGAATAATGATTCGTATAAATTCCAAGTCATACAGCAAAACAGTTTACTTATAAGTCAGTCCTTCCTTTAAAAAACTTGTTAGTACTCTGTAATATAAATTGTACGATTTAAGAAACTATGTAATTACATGATGACTGGAGTTGAGAAAACCTGGATAATGGTGCAATCCTCACAAATAAAATTTAGGCCACTCATATGTAGACTGAATTGCTGTCGCAAAAGTTCATGACTCTACTTCTGTTTCTTACTATAGATTCGAGAAACCCTTGTCACTAAAACTCTTCCCTGAGTTCCGCCAAAGCATAAATTTTCTGTCACTCAAACATGACATTCACGATCATTTCAGCCAGGCA